AAAATACTAAATAGGTATGTAGGTAATATAATAGCTTCCGAGTTTAGTTTATGTGGACGTATTTGTTATAAAAGCAAGAAACGTAAAATATAGATTTATATTATATTTTAATTGTAATTTTGTTATTATATGTAGCTGTGGCTATTCCAAGTATTTTTTTTTTTTCATCAACTACGTATTTGTTTTTGTTTTTCTATAGGAAAACGTTAAGTTATCTATTATGTACGACACCGACTACCAACTTTCAAAACATCCAATGAGGATTAATCATAATATTATATAACTCACAACTTCACAAGTAGTAGGTATGATAAAATAACAAAATGTTCATTAGTCAAGTACCTAATAAGTACAATAATCTTTAAATTTGTCTATCGATTTATTTGTATAATATATACCTTAATTATTATTTATAGGTAGTCATATTACAATAGTTATACTCGTTTTTGCTCAGACACGCAATAAATGCACACAATTGATTGGCAAACGAATACACTTTTACATACTCATGCTACTGGTTTTATTTTTGAATTCGGTACATGCGTCTTCCATGAAATATAATATTAAACTCGACGTTTTAAAATAATTTACTTCTTTGGTTTTTGTTTTCGTTTTACAGTCTTTGGGCGGAATCTGTAAAAATAAAAATAGAAAACTACTTTTATTTTTTTCGAGCTAGGTATTACGAACGCTTTCCTCATATAAATGTTAAAAATACTACTACAGTCTACACTTTATACAATACGCGGTATATATTGTATTCGGTACGTCACACCGACATGCATAATATTATAATATTTAGTGTATACCTACCTACGCATCGCTGTTTATATACGAAAATGTTCGCGTGAAAAACATAGAGAATGTGATTGCATCGTGAAATGTGACCATAAAAAAAACACCCGCGAGCAGCAGAGTCCCGGTACTACGGTCAGATTCATCTCAGGACCCGCGCCTATTTGTATTACAGAAATATCCGTTGTAAAACAATAAATAATCGACTATCAAGTATTTCCAAAAAAACAAAACAAATTTGAAATTTTAACATAAAAATGGAAGGGATGAGGGTTGAAAATAGAAATCGCCAAAAGATTTTTCGTATTCTTTATATAAACGCCATACATATGAGGTGTAAATTATTACAGGTGTAAGTTGTTATTAAATAACGAGACAATCAAATTAGCGATAAAACAAGTGCTGATAAGGGAATAATATTGATATAATATTTAGAATCTTTTAGTGTCCTAGATCAACGGAAAAAATATAAATATACATGGGTACATAATATGTATTTATAAAATAGTAGTCGGCGATAGTTTCTGTAATTTCGTGGAAAATCGACTGCAAAAAAAAAACAAAAAAATATCGCCAATTATAGGACCAGAAAACGAATTAATTATATTATGATGTTGTTCTATTGTATTTGAGCGATGCGAGGCCAGTGACACTCGCCGGAAATAAAAATGCATAATAACAATAATTAACAATATAGCAATGAGATTATGTTCTATATGCAATTTTATTTTGTATTCCGTATTATACGTTATAGATACAGCGTTACGGTAAATATATTATGAATAATGATAAATCGTCTGAAATAATATAATAAATTATCACGCACCGGCCCGTAAACAACGGACTCGGTAATAAATACACGCGCGAGCGTCCGGGTAAAACGTATACGATGTTGCGCGCGTGCGGGACTTTCGTTGGCCCGCGGTAGTGTCGTTTGACGGGACGGCGGTCGGGGGGGGGCCTTGTAAAAAGGGTCCGGCCTGCGCGGGGGAGAGAGGCGGCGAGGGAGGGACGCTAAAAATATTACGCAGTAAGCGAAACGGACGGAAAAAAAAAAAAAAACTTTCGCTGGTACGCCGTAATGGTTACGTCACACGGAGGCGACGACGCGGCGGCAGCGAGCGGCGCAACCATCATCGTGCTGCACGATAATTATCGTACAGCCGTCGTCCGCGAGCACGGTAAACGTTCGCGACGACGACGACGCGCACCACGGTGCCAATGTTGTTTTATTTTATTATTATTATTTTTTTTTTGTTTTTTTGCCGTGCGAACCGCTCGTTCGCCAGCAGCTCGGGTGCGAAACCGGCCGGCCGGCCGGCCGGCGGCGCGTGTATACGATGCGCGCGCCGAGTGCGATGCCAAAGTGGGTCAACCAATGTAAACACGGCACCGAGGTCGCTCGCGGTGCCCCCTCGCCCGCCCTGCTGAGTTTCGCAGCCGATCCTCCTTACCCCCTCCCCCACCGACGCCACCGACTCCGGAAAGTTGTGTTTACGCGTGTCAGCTGAGCAGCTACCGTCAGCCGGCCGGTCGACCGGCCGGCGTACACTGCGAATAATAATAATATGTATACACACATTACGCGCAACAACATTTTCGTCGATTTTGTTTACCAAAATAATAATAATAATAATAATAGTACGTCGGTGTATTCAAAACCGTCCCGTATGCGCGCATCATCGTTTAGCTAGGTACCTCGTCACTGCCACGCGTGCGATCTGCACGATCATGTTATTATTTGTGAAATAACAATATTGACGTTTTTCGGATCGGTGTCGTATTCGGTATTTATTCTTTCTTTTCGGGCCGATCAGTTACATTATCACCATTGTTGTATTTAATTATATTACGTTGAAAGACGACTTATGAAAAATTCCCGGCGTTCCGGAGGAGGCCGCGGCCCCCTTAGCCCGCCCACACACCCACCCCCGTGGATACGCCACTGTACTCCACGGATAATGATAACATCGTTACCGTGTATCAGGCACCGGGTACTTTCACGTTATTCGCGTTACCATTATCGCTGCTGTGTCGTCCCGAGGCGCCGCGCTCTCGTCACGCTCGGTTTTTCCGGATTCGCGGAAAACCCGGTCCGCGTGAAAACGCCCGCACCGTCCGCGGCGGCGGGTTCGACCCACATAATGTGGGTCATTGCGGTGGCGGCCGGTCTTACGCGTCCGCGTTGCGTTGCTCGGGCTATAGAGTGTGCGCACCGTATAGTAATACTATTATTATTGCGCGGCACACGCGGATGAATATTGCACGACGCGGTACGTGTGTCCGTCACGACGTCGATATTCGCCGTAAATTCGCTATCCCGCTCGACGCCTAGCCGTGAACAATGGGAAACCGTTTTCCTCCCGAACACCCGAAAGTTGTTTTTTTAATGTTATTGTTACGCAATGGAATGATAATATTGTACGGGGGTCGGTTGGTCGAAAATATCGTCTCAGTGGCGCGCACACGCCGGCGACAATATCATTATTATTATTTGTATTATTATTATTATTATTATACCGTAATATAGGACGCGGCCGAAAAACAAAACAACTGCGCAGAATATTATTATTTTCGCGCCCGTATACTACGATAAAATGTACTGCAGGCAGATAGGTATTGCATTTTGTTATTATTATGATTAACGTTCGTGTGTATCGGATATTATTCTTCCAACGTTCCGTCGTAAACGGCGTCGTCGGTCACAATATGAATAAATATCCCCCCCCTCCCTGTATTGAATAACACAGTTTCGGACACGTACCCCGGGACGTTACGAATATTATTGTAAAAAAATATATAACATTATCGTATCGTTACTTTATGTTACGGCGGCGGAGGCGGCGAAATGAAATGGATATTATTGCTCGGCCGTAATCGATCGCGGTTCGTACATAATACACGCGCTAGTTGTGTTATATTTTTCATTATTGCAAAACCGCAAGAACGCGAATATTGCCTGAGACCGGTACAGAATATAATAATAATAATAATAATAATCACGACGAGATATGAGTACGGGCACTTCTGCCGTATAATAATAATTTTGTGTACTGTTTTTATAATGTAAAAAACGCCGTTTTCGTTGCGTACGGGGTAAACTAGATCCCAAATCGGAATCGACTAAATCATTATTTTACAACCTTAGATACCTACCTAGTTTGTTTGTTACGCGGACCGTATAATATCGTATATACCTACCAACCTTCCTACCTACCTCCGACAATAATTACATTTTTTTCAGAAACAATACAACAATGAACATACTTTTCAAATGCAATAATAACTACCTACGTGTATCTAGTTTTTAGAAAAAAAAATTCCGAACCCATATAGTTTTTACCGTTGGATTTCGCGAGTTTTTCGCTTTTATAATATATATTTTAATACCGGGGACTTGACATCGTACAGTTACCAATTTGGTATCTAGGGGTCGGGGGGGTTATGAGGGTTATAACTCCTCTCGAAATGTCTTAGAAATAAAAAAAAAAATTACTAATAGTTTGAAAAAAGAATAAAGTGCTATTAGACTTAACAGTTTACATAAATAATACAAATTAATAATAAACAAGTACAGTCCAGTGTAGTGTATATATTATAATAATAGGTAGCTCTATGGTTATCGATTATTTAAAAAGACAAAATATTTTTCAATTGTCAATAGAAGAAGTAGATCCACAGAATAATCGTTTTAAACTAAAATATCTATATGCAACTCGATGGGTCGATTGCCATGATGCCGTTATGTTATTTGAAGAACTTCAACCATCCATTTTATATGCATTAGATTAAACTACACTTTGGACAGATTCTGACACTTCTAGTTCTGCAAGTCATCTTCTTACTGCGATAAAACAGTTAAAATTTCAAACAGCTTTATTTATTTTAGTGAAAGTACTTTCTTTACGTTTTCCACTTAGCCGATATCTTCAAACAGTACATTTTGATTTAAAAACTGCATTAGAAGCTGTTAATGTTCAAAATAATATTCAAGATATTAGAGAAAATTGTGATGTAGAGTTTCAACAATTATTTTTATCCGTAATAACTGTGTGTGATAAATTTAAATTTGCCACGTCAATCTAAATCTAGAATATTTTTTTAAGTATTCATACCTTTTACAGATAATTGTTTAGACCAATTGAACGAAAGATTTATATCTTACAGGATTATTTTGAATAATTTTGATTGTACCTAAGATAGAAATGAAAATATCTAAAGATAATAAAAGTAAATTCAAACAATTAGTAGAAACATATCAAGATATAATTGCTGAATGTAACGATTCAAATTTAAATGATCATATATTAAACGAAGAATTAGATTTGTGGTACACTAAATATTCAAATTTAACATCTTAACATCTTCCGAACTCAAGAACAAAAATACTATTGAAGTATACTTCCAAACTAGCCCAGAGGTTTATCCAGTAATATACAAACTTCTTCAAATATTCATAACACTTCTAGTGTCTATTGCCACGGGAGAACGATCGTTTTCAACACTCTGTCGTTTGAAAACATTTGAGAAATTCTTCGGGACAAATACGTTTAAATGGTTTAGCTTTACTAAAATATATTAATCGCAATATAAACGTGAATATCAATTATGTTATTGATGAATTTACTAAAACATTAAAATGAAAAATGAATAAGTATACATTTATAATTTTTAAAAAAGATAAATATTTCAACTTTTATATAATTAGCGCTGTAAAATAGTAATAAAATGTTTAATGTATGATTATATTACACACAAAATTGAAAACAATTTAATTTGTTACATTTTTTCAATCCCCCCCCCCAAAAAAAAAAAATTCTAGATACGCCACTGACAGTTACAACTTTTAAATCACGAGTATTTATAAAATACATTATGCAAGTATAAAAAAGCGTCTATATATAATATTTCGATAATAGTGTAATCTGATCTACCGGTTGAGAACAATATACAATATCAAAAACAAACGATTAAACACTTCGAGTTTAATATGTTATTCCAAAAAGTCTTCTTTAAATCGATAAGAAGTTCATCAGGTATGCATATTTTTTATTTGTTTGAAGGGTGACACGTGAGGAGTATATAGATAGGCTCTATTCGTTTTTATTTTACATCACCATTTTACTAATACCATACAGTAATTCGATTGTTCGTATTAGACGTCATTTTTTTGGTTCCGCTAAGTTTTCGGTATAAGGTTTACTCGTCTGCAGATGAATAAATCCGTGATCGTTATAAGAACTGGATGCCCATTGCTCGCATTGATCACTGTTGATTCTACTTTTCGACCTTTTTGCGAATGACAGGCAAAAGTGTCATTTTTCCGAAAGTCACACAATAATTAAGTAATCGCTGTTTATCGATATAATATCACATTACATTAGCAGCCGGGCGCTTATATTATATGTACGAGACAATAAAAATCTATTTGACGCGTTCATCCATGTATTGATGAAGCAGTGCACAAAAATAAATTAAATCGAACTAATTTGACTCGCCGTCTAACGCCTTTGGCAATAAACAATCAAGTTTAAGTATAACTATACAAGTTAACTCCTCGGGAAGTGTAATGATCCTTTTTGTTTACCTTACACTCATTGCGAAGTGTCTCCATACTATATTCGCGTCGCCACTGAATCAATCATTTATAGACCTTCGATTGATTTTGACGGGATGTAAACTTGTGCACAAAACACCATACTAATATAATACGGTATCACAGTATATCCGAATCGCATCCAAAAATATTAATATTTTGTCCAAACTTCGTGCTCGGTTGTCTTACGACACTGGTCAGTCTCTGATTAGTTGTGTCCGGAAACGATAAACCGTGGACGCTAAGTGTCGTGAGAAAACCGAGCACGGAATTTGGATGCAGTCGTATTATAATAAACTATTGTAGGTACCTAATAACTAATACAATATAAAATAGTACGTTTTAATAAAAAACTAAATATAAGCTTGATTTTCTTTATTTTTTTAAATAAACCTAAGATAAATAATAATAATAATAAATAGGTAAAGGTATAATAGCCGTATAGGTTTCATGAAAGACGAATGTTTTTAATGTTATTGTCTGTTTCACATTATAAAAGCGAACAAATTAATTTATGTTATTTTCAATGGTAATGCCAAATCATTATATCAATCATCAATCACTGCAGTTATATCAATTGTTAGTAAAAATATCATAATATCGTATTTTTTTTTTATTCAACATTATTTTTTGTAAACAACTTATTACAACAGTGGCTTAGCCAAGGGAGGGAGGCTAAAGGGGCTATAGACCCCCCTATTGGCCGTAGTTTTTATATCGTTTTGAAGTCTTACAAATTTTAATTATTTAAAGTAGTAAATACGTTAACGGCAAATCAACGTTAATATGTTATCAGTATTTTTTTTTCAGTTATTAATACCATGATATGAAATTAGTTATTTCTTAAGAAAACATGTTCTAGATAAATGCACTTAAAACCAGCTGGTTATTAATAAAGTGTAACTTCGTTCACTCCAGAACGTACATTTTCTACATTAACTCGCATGAAAACTTATTTACGATCTACGATGTCAGAAAAATAACTCAATGATTACCTATGGTAAATATAAACAAAAATTAAAATATTAAAGAAAATGATGTGATTGCATTATTTTCCCGAAATTCTCACTGAAGAATGCAACTTAGAGAATGACATCAGTAAAATGTAGCATTGTTTATTTCTTGTTATTAGTTGTATAATAGAATATTTGAATTAAAAGTGTTTATTCATTTTTTTTTGTTGTTTTTGATTTTAAATAACTCAAGTTAATAGTGTTTAGCCCCCTCCTCATAACAAAATCCTGGCTACGCCACTGAATTTTAATAACTATTACTCTTAGATTCTGAGCTTTAGTAGCTTACCGAGGAATGCATTGGTTTTTGTTTTATGATAGGTATTTAAAATTTTTTTTTCTGTCTATGAACAATTTTTTTTACCGGATCTTGTTCCGATCGTCGACTTTACTACAGGGATGGATTCTAGTAGTAAAATATTTTGGCTAGCATACACTACCTATACAATATTCAATAATTTGTATACATATATATTTAGGTAAGTTTATAAAGAAAAAAAGATGGCAATTTTTTTCCTTAGTGGTTTTCTATATCTGGGAAAATCCGGGAAAAAGGTAGGAAAAACGAGAATATTCACGAAATAATGGTTTCTGTTATTTTATAGATTTTGCTGTTTTATTGTAAATTAATTAAATTTAATAGTAGGAATCTGTTATTGTCACCAAATAATACTTATAACTTCTAGACGTAGTATACTATATTTCAGTATATTTCAGTTTTTAATATATTCTGACAATTTTTTAAACTTTTTGTAGTCGTCTGGAATTTTCGAGTTTTTTTAGTTTTTATTTGGTTTCATGTGGATACAATTTGTCTAGTTTTTTAAAAATGCTCAAAAATTCGAAACAGAGTTCATCATAAGTTTTTCCTATAATGGCTCTATATATACAAATATTAAAAATGTATAGTCACAATTTTTTTATTGGCGTTTAAAGTTTAAATTTTGATTAAAATCGTAAAAATCACGATATTCGGGGTATTATTTTCCAATCCAAGCGACAAAACCTATTTTTTTTTTGCTCAATCATAAAAATGCTCAGTATTTTAAACAAAAAAACACCGACAATTGTAATTTATTTTGTGGTTACAAATTATTTTTAATTAAGTTTATCAAAACATGATTAACCGAACATCGATCAGAATTTGCTCTTGCTAGCAATCACTGTATATTACAGTTTAAATTAAATTACCCTATATATTATTTTACCTTCCCAATTTTCCATCTAAAACAGTGGCCTACCCATCATGAGTAGTATCCTGTAAGAGGAGCGTCACGACGATGTACAAAACACCCACAATGTATACTCATATTAAGAACTGTGATTAAATATTATTTGTAAACTGCAATGTAGTTGTATTGTTTATTAATTCAAGAAAATAGATAATACTTTGTTAGAATACGTTACTTACAGCAAACAGGTAGATTTTTAAAATATCAGTTATTTATTGAATACAATTTTAGATTCCAAGCGTAACGAGGGGCTATTGATTTTACAATGCTATTTATTATTATTTTTTTCTTTGTTCTTTGTTATAGTCTGTGGACACGTTTTTTCCTAGTGAACTTGCTCTGATTTTTACGTGTAGCAACTTTTTTGAAAGTTCAAGTTGTCTAGATTGTACTTTAGAGAGGTCATTTTTTAAATAAAAGCACTTAATTGAGAAAAAACGTAGGAAAACGTTCAATTTCACGATTTCATTATTTTATAAAAACACGGACGACGTTTTCTTCCAGAAAAAATGATTAAAACGAAAAATCATAAGATACCTTTTTTTTTGAATTTTTGATTTAATTTCTTACAGTATTATCGCAAAAACTGTTGTGCTACTTTCGAGCTTTTAAAGAATTTTCATTTTTGGTAGTTTTTTTGCTGTAATTCAGTGATAGATACACGCAGAGACTTGAAACTTAGTAATAATAATTATATTGGACTTATTTAGACGTGGTAAAATTTCCAAAATCATCGGACGACTTTTTTTAAAAAGGTTTTTGAAATAAAATTTAAACGAAAATCGCAAAAAAATTTACAATTAAAATTATGTATTACCGAATTGCGCTCGGAATCGTCTTTCATCATGTAATGGTTTATCGTTGCTTACAGATATAAATGAAATAACTTTATGTATATTTTATCTTCCCAACTTCTCATCTACAACAGTGGCCACTCCCATCTCCAGTATCAGCTCTTTTTTTTTTTTTTTGATTTACATGTACATTTATGGATTCTAAGAATTATTGCTTTTGTTATTGAATTAATGACTCGATTTGTGTATCACTTAATCCTAGTATGAATACCTATTTGTAACTTTTAATAATAGATCTCGATGAAAATAATAAACAATTTACAAAATTAAATATTGCTGATTATGGATTTATGGATAACATTAAATATTGGTATTAACTATAAAAATACTGCTGTTACTTATTTTAAATATCATTAATATAATATTATTTTTTTACTTGTACAAACGATTTAGAAGATTTAATTTAATTTTAGAAATACCCACCATTGTACAAGCTGTTGAAGATTTATCGATACCTACAGATTATTAATTTGGAATATTTGTATTAGATAAACCAAACAATATTACTTATTTATACATGCACACACATGCATAGTTGAAAAAAAAACAAAAATTATTTGTTATGCATATTATATATATATATATATATATATATATTAATTTTACTGTTTGTTATAATTTATGTTATATTTTAATGAAACATAATTACAAGCAATTCACATTTTA